ACCTGTGTGAGCAAAGGAAGTAGAGTGTGCTCCACTAGAACCACCTGTACCTGGTTGTCCACTTGTTGCTAAACTAGAACTGTTTGTATCCCACTGGTTCAGAAACTGGCAATACCTCTCAAGTTCGGCCCTTACTGCAGCTGCTGCAACAGACTCCAGAGTAACTGTAGTAGGAGGGGTCGGAATGTCACCAGTGACTGCCATGTGAGCATTTCCCTTCTTATTTTTGAGTCTATTCGGCACAAGATGGGGATAAAGCTTCCAACAAGTATCTCTTGTGTGTTTAGGCTTCTTACAGTAGTCACAAATCAAATCCTTTGTCTTCCTTCTTGATTTCACTGCCACCCCGATCTCCACCTTGTTTAGGTCTCACAGTGTTAACCATGGTTGATTGATCAAACCCAAAATTTTTCATCATCACATTTCTCTTGCTCTCTTCCCCTGACACAAGGCATATGCCTGGGAGAGAGTAACAACTGTCTCCAAATGGTCAATATCCTGCCACAGGGTTTTAAGGGCTGAAAAGTAAACAGCAATAAGTCTATCTCCCTGCCTTGTAGCAATAATCTGATTTCTCAACTGATAAGTCCTAGCAACATTCTCCCTCTATGAATAGGTTTCTGCAACTTCATCCCATATTTCCTTAACTGTATTTGCCCACAAAAAGTTTTTACTTATATGAGGCAGCATGGAATTACATAATCAAGTCATCACCATAGTTCTCTTGTACCTACCAGGAGCTGTTAGTTTTGGGTTCACTTCTTCACCAGTGATATACCCTAACTTCCCATGAGCACCAATGGCCATCTTTGCAGATTGTGACCATTCTAAGTAATTTGAACCATTCAACTTAACTATAGTAATAGTCTCAGCCCCGAAAAGGTCTCCAGCACCTCCTCCCACTGGTCTCATTTCACTCCCGAGCTTGTTTTCAACTCCGTTACCCTCCATATTTCTCATAAAGGGGATAGATGATTACTGTAATATGCAAGAATATCAAATAAATCACTTTTGGTACCAACGAAACCTTCTGGTGCCCTAGATGGTTCTCTCACAAAAGATTCCTTTTTTGCGGGACAGGAGACGAGAGGGAAGAGGCAACCGCTCTCTCCAGAAACCTCCAAATCAGGTAGGACTTGAACCGCCCCTAGAGAAAACTCAAAGGAACCCTAAAAAATTAGGGCGCCACTTCCTAGGTCAAAACTGAAGAGTCCAACAGAAACATGACTTTCCCCCTTTCTCTAGTTTTTCCTGATTTTGATGAGAAACCCTAGACCAGCTACAGGGCAAAACAGATCCACCAAAAAATCCAAAAACTGGGCTTACCTGAGATCTTTGATCAGCCTCTTAAATCACCATGCAATCGGCCGATCTAGGGCTGCATGAGAAAACAGCTCAAGGAACCTTCGGCATGCTCTGATACCAAGTAGAAATCACTATTTGGAAATCTAGATGAATTCCTTGTGAAGAGAAAGAAAAGGAAGATGAAGAGTTTCAACAGTAGAGAAGAAAAGAGAAGGAAGAGTAGGTTGTCAACCAGAATTGAATTAGGTCTGGCCGCCAACCCCTCATTATACTTTATACTTAACTTAAAAGAATAAGAGATTACAATAATGCCCTTAGTAGGGCGGCTACTAAAGTAGCTAAACAGTCACAACTTAAAAACATAAGCTAATGGGCCTAAAGCCCAACAACTTCCTAACTTAACAACTTAAAAAATAAGAGCTAAATAACTGGGCCCAATAACTAGAAATCGGCCCAACTCAACAAGTAGCACACTAGATAAAAACTATATCAATCTTTACTCCATTTGCTACTAAGGATATCATTACAGGCTGGAAGACCGCTTATTCTTCATGTACCAGGGGCCTATAACATTATACCGATCCCCTCCTGCCCTTGAAATGATTAAAATGAATTTTGATGGATGTAATTTGGGAAATCCAGGAATTCTCACGGTTAAATATTGGCCATGGTCTCTAGACTCATAGGTAACAATGATTCTACAAGGACTAAATTGCAGGGTTTGAGGTTGGAGAAATCTCTAAACTATACAATCTTAGTGGCAGAAAGGGATTCGAAGGTGGTGGTGAGTTGGTTTAGAAACAACACTATAGGTGCTTATAGATACGTTATGAAGGAGGCCAAATTGCTGGTTAGGGAACTAAAGGCTATATTTTCCATGGGATTCAAAGAACAATCAACAATATGGCTGATATATTGGCAAGACAAAGGGTGAATGGAAATCATTTGTATTGGGAGATTGTCTCCAAGGGGAGATATTTTTAACAAATAAATTAAAAGAAATAAATGGCGATAGCTAGCAAGGGCTAACCTACAAAAAGGGGTAACCTACAAAAAGGGGTATAGGCAAGGATCAAATTTCATCACGCATCAGCCTGTATCGGCCGATATGCTAACCAACAGGGTGTAGACAGGCCTTAGACCTACCCCCTGACCTACTAAAAAAAACTAAAAAAAGGGTGGGACAAGGTTCAAAGTACCAATACACCCCTTGCACCATATCAGGGTGCATCTGATGTGGACGCATTTATTGGGAAGAAGTATAGCCGCCGGCAGCAGTAGTAATTGGGTGTTCTCAGTTCTCATCTTATCTAATTCCAGCTAGATA